GCGATGACATTGTGGTCCAGGGAAAGCTCTCTACACTCTGGTATAATCTTACCCTTTCCACACCGCCCTTGTAAATCTCATGAGAAAACTCAAATCCAAAAAGAAACGGAGAGAAAAATATGCTAAAACATGCTGCTCCTAAACTGAAGCTCCAAAAAAGATGAGTTTGAAATCTGAAATGTTTGTTTCATGGAGACTAGTTAAAGTTGTTTTCTTCCTTCTTCCTCCTATGAATACTCCAACTGAAAAGAGTAACGTGTAGCTGAGTATACAAATAATGATGCTCTGGTACAAGAAGCAATTAAAGAAAGCTAAGAGCCTTGTCTCTGTTTAGCTTCAAAGAGTAGCTATGTTAGCAGGCAGCAGAAGTAAGCTATTATCCTCAAGGTAGGCTCTGGCCTGAGACATTAGAGAAGTACGTGGGACACCTGTCCCATGGGGCTCCGTCTTGCAGTTCTTGCATGCTCAGAGCTCCCACAGAGACTCACAGACATCTTAGGCATCCACAGTCCCCAGAAGTGGATCAATAATAGCAAAGCGAGGGTTTGTCTACCCCAGAGTGGACAAAATGTGGCCCGCCAGGCCATTCTATCTGGCCCGTGGGAACCCTAAAAAATTTAGAAAATTAATATTTATCTGCCTCTGGCTGCCTGTCATGCAGCCCTCGATGGCTTGCCAAAACTCAGTAAGCAACCCTCCGCCCAAAATAATTGCCCGCCCCGGTCTACCCAAAGGCATGCCCCTACCTAGTGACCCACCACGCAGCCAGAAATCCACACAGATCAATGAGGTGAGACTGTTAAATAATCACATGACTCCAGGAGCAAGGACTCTAAGACAAAAGTACTGAGGTGAGCAATAAAATGACAAGGGCTGGCAATGCTGCAAACAGCTCCTCGCAGATGATAAAAGCCCAGTCAGCAGTAAAAAGACCCGTACGATTAGGTTCTTCTAGACCGCTGCTTCGGACAGATTTTGCAGTTCTATGCAGCTGTCTTTGATGACCAAACTCCTTTAAGAACCGAATGCAAAAAGACTAGTAGGGTTTGCTGTAGGCTCTTCTTTGTGAGAGTGTGTCAAGTGCCTTGGCAACAGGACTGCAAAGGTGGTGGAAGAGCCCTGAAATGCAGAGTACAACCAGGACTGCACACAGATACCCAGAAAGATACTCTGCTACAGTCCTTTTTTGTCCCACAATTCATAAATCAATTGTACTGTAAATCGCTTCAGCTTATGATGGTCCAGAATTAGCCAGCAGCGTGCCAATCTTTGCCTCGTTTGTATTGTAACGGATCATATAACATACTCTTTCATTTGTAACATATGCAGCACAAGATGGAAGACAATGTTTGTCATGCATAGTATAGCTTCTTTTCCCAGAAGGCAGGTGTTTTGATCACTTTACAGTATTTTCTGGAGGAGTTCACCTAACCAAGAGGACAAGCTACATATTCTGGTTTTATTACAGAAGTCTTATGGCATTGCAGCCTCCGTTGATGTAAATCCACCCATCAACATTGACTTCAAGGGAAACACGCTCATTTATAGAGCTGTCCCATAGTGCTCCACCCTGCAGTTCTTGCACACGCCAAACTCTAACTAAGGATCGCACCCCTCACCTTGGGGGTACACAGTCAGCAGAGCTGAGCCAGCAAAATGACAGGCCCAGATTCTCTAAGATATTTAAGGGTCTGATTCCTAGCGATGTCAGGCCTCACTGGGGGATAGAAATGTAAGTCTCTTTGAGGAGTTAAGGCAATGGACATAATAGGACTCCAAGCAAAGTTGCGTTCAGTACTGTTAATAAAAGTGTAAGTCAGGATCCCAGTCCTGAAAGGTGACAGGAGGTACAAGTGATCACTCAGCACCTCAAAAATCAGGGCCCAGGAGTGGTTGGCCAATGTGGGTTCAGAGTACTGGCTACATCAATTTACATTCAAGTTTGGCAATGGGATTTTTGCTATGCAATTATCCCCTTCAAATCATAATGACCCTTTTTTTAAATTAAAGTTAATTTCTATTTCATAGACACACAACCTCCTTGGGCGTGCCTCATATTTAATTTATTACATCCCATCCTTGTAGAAAGAGTTCTTGAATACATATGCCTTATATGTGATGTCGTACATTGTGTCTCCTGATTTGCTGGGAACTTTTCCAGCCACCTGGTTAGAGATGATCTTTCCTTTGGAAGCCACAGTCACTCTTATGAAAATGCTGCTTTTCTTTCTAGATGTATAAAACTGGTAAAGAGGACAGATACACATGCTCTGTGTGCCCTCTATGTACCCTAAACATGTGTTGTGAAGGCTGTGATTTCAGATGAACTGGGCAATTTCTAATTCTGGCCCTACTACCACACATATGTTTCTCTAATGCCTGAGAGAAGGTGAGTCTTGCATTACATCTGTCTTCTTTATCTCTTTTTGGGGAGGTGGCAGGAGGATGGGGGTGCAGAAAGGAGAAACAGGCAATCAAGTAATAAGGGCAGTAACCAAAAAAGATACAACTACAGTGGTAAGTTCTTGGGGACAGGAACCATCTTTACAGTGCTATCCACAATGGTCCATGACTGGTAATAGCACATTCTACTACTATTCAAATAATAATTTTAAAAAATGGTAAATCAAACATCAAAATCCATCCAACAACATAAAGGTTACTCTATATACCCATTATATTGGGTTTCAAATCCCAGTAGAGATGAAAAGTAAACTGTATTTTTATCTCAATATATTTTACTAAGAGAGCTTATCCAGCTGGGCAATAATTTATACAATTACATTTCTCTATAATGAACATGTCACTGTTTGTTTAGTGACAAAATGATAGGGGGAGCGTGTGGAGTCTGCCAACCAGTGGAATGGAGCAGCAAGTTGTGATCAACCAAAACTCGAAATAGGATTGACCTTTTCATCCAGACATTTGTTATTAACATCTATTTTTATCCCCAAGAGAAAACACCGATGCAACAGCAGAGTGCACCTTCAAGAAGGAAAACAGCTTCCTGGTAAACAACTTGGGACTGTCAGCCTGCTGAGAGGTAGCACAGGAAAACATGCTTAGCAAAGCGTGTGCCAGGCACTGGATGATGACTGACTTGTGGGGAGGTGAGGATCCTTCTGTAGTTCAGGGTTGGGTTTGTTGCCAGTTAGTCCTTAGGGAAGAATATTACATGGCCACTGACTAATACATGACGTATGTTCAATTTGGGCATCCACGGTGAGATTCAGGAGTTTCCCGGTGGGCAGGATGGACACGTATGATGCTCAGCACTTGGAAGCACAATGCATCAAATGGGTTCAAAGAATGGCAAGTTCCCCAGGAAGAGCTCTGGGAGGGAAGGGACAGTCTGTTCCCAGCACCCTACCCAGAAGCACACACAAAGATGGAAAACTGGACCTCTGACCCAAATCCCACCAGACTTTGTGGCCAATAGAAGCTGTAGAGATCCAGCTTGGTCCAGAAAGACTCTTCAGCACGTGCCTGGATTGCAGAACCAAGTAAATTGATACCACTCTGGAAACAGCTACGATAGACAGTAACAGACTGTACAATAGCTGGTGCAGCCCAGTTATGGCCCCAAAGCAGATCCCCATATGTTTGGGGCCATAACTGGGATGGGGGAACAAGGTCTCTCCCATTCCCCGCTGGTCCCCGCTGGTAAGTTTATAGATGGCCACCAGATCCCCCCTCAGCCTTCTCTTGTGGAGGCTGAACAGGTTCAGGTCCCGTTGCCTCTCCTCGCAGGGCCTGCCCTGCTGTCCCCGGATCATGCGAGTGGCCTCCTCTGGACCCTCTCCATGCTGTCCACATCCCTCCTGAAGTGCGGCACCCAGAACTGGACGCAGTACTCCAGCTGCGACCTGACCAGTGTCGCATAGAGGGAGAGGATCGCCCTGCACTTGTCAATATTGAATCCCATCCTGTTCTCATTTGCCCACCCCTGTAACCTGTCCCAGTCCAGCTGTATCCTGTCCCTCCCTTCTAGCATGCCCACATCACCCCAAATCTTGGGGTCGTCCATGAATTTAAACAGGCTGCTTTTCACCCCCTCGTCCAAATCACTAATAAAGAAATTGAACAGTGCGGGCCCAAGGACCGAGCCCTGGGGGACCCCACTGCTCACATCCCTCCAGGTCGAATATGACCTGTCCACCACCAGCTTGAGATGCAGTTCCCCCCAAACTCCTGCGCCTATCACCTCGAAACTTGGCAGGCTTTGTGGCCTCACCTTGGGCCACCACTCCTGCGGTCTTGACCCCACTGTGGTGTAACACAGAGACGTGACATGAGTTTTGCTTTCCCAAACTCTGCACTGATCATCTTGAAACTTGGCAGGCTTCATGCTCTCAGCAGAGGCTACCACTCCTGCAAGTTTCATCCAAATCAGACAAAAAACAACAAAGTTATAGATATTTCATTGATTCCCCATTATACCCTATGGCCAGATCTCCAAGGCGGCTCCAAAGTGTCGGAGCTGCTTCGGCTGGATTAAAGCAGAAACCTGGTCTGGAGCTCCAGATCAGATCCCTGGCATCTGAAGTGGCCAGATCTGAAGCCAGATCGAACACCTGCCTACTCGCACAGGCCTACTACCCATGCCCTGCCCTTCAGTAAGGCTGTGGCTCAAACAGGGGATTTCTGGCACGCACATAAACAGCAAGGACTTCTAAATCCAGGTTTCTTTGACATCTCGGTCCCAGGTGACAGACCACCATCAGTCATTGGTACTAGAAGTTTAGTTATGTGGCTATGGGCACTCATTAGGTCCTACCGGAACTGCATTTGCCACTAACAGTCACACATTTCCCAGCACAGGGGATTGCTGCAGTTGTAATCAAGCTGTAACGTTACAAGATGAAAGACTCCATTAAAAACCATCACCCATACCAAACCTTGTCACTCCGAGGGAGCTGACAGCCAAAGCTCCCTCTGTTGTGACACAACGGCCCGTGCTTGACATGCTCTATACTGTGGTCGTTCTGACAATGTAATACATGTTGAATTTACAGGATCCAAAAGAAGAGAAGAGGTCCTGGGAGCTACAGCCTGGGAGTATGGGTGAGACGATCCAAACTGTACTGCCAGCTCTGTCAAAGCCTTTGACATCAACCCCCTCCATCTCGGCATGCCTCCTTTCCCATAAAATGGAGATGACCCCATCCACTGCTCTGATAAGGAACAGGATGAGCTTGAATTGAGGTCAGTGTTTTCAAAGAACCTCAGATGGAAAAGGCTACAGAGAGGGGTCTGTGAAAAAACTGCTTCTGCAATCAAAGACATGAACTCCAAGACTGGCCCGAGAGGCTAACTGGAGGGCAATAAGTTAATTCTGGCCAGAGACTGGAGGCAGGGGAGGGGTTGTGGTCAGAAAAAAGGTGGGAGGAGAGGAAAACTAAAGAACATTTGTTTTATTCATGAGTTTTAAGGCTAGAAATGATGCATCCAGCCTGACCTCCCACACAAGACACTGAACCCGTTACCCCAGTACTGAGCCCAGGAGGGTATCTTCCAGAAGAGGACACGAGATGGGGGATTCATCCCTCCTCTCACTAGTTGCCTCCAATTACACCGATCACACAGTTAATCTCAGTTCAAAACATGTGCCTCCTTCCAAGCTGACCTCACCTGGCTGCAAGCAGGATGAAGCTGTGCATCCCAGTTATGACCCCAAACCAGGGGTGTCCCAAGTTACCTGCCCTGCAGGGGCACCATGCCGGGAGCTGCCTTTCTCTGCTAAATCGGCCTTTCCCTTCGTGGTTTTCATCCCTAGAGAGGCACTTGCGTGCATTGCTCCAGGCTGTAGCAGAGCGCGGACCAGGAACACGAAGCTGCAGCGAGTCGCTGCACCCGGCAGTCGTGGCTGGAACCGTCAGGAGGACTAAGCCCGACAGCAGGGCTGGGCTGCTAACTGCCTGCTCCTTCTTGCGGCCACACAGCCAAACTTTACTGACGACGGCGAGGACCGAGAGGCCAACAAAACCACGGCTGCTCATCTGAGACTTCCCCGCATCCCTATTTGAGCCTCGGCCTTCCAGAGAGCGAGGGCATGGGTGGGTGCAGAGGCAAAGGCCGGGCTTGGCAAAGCGCTGCCCCCCCGCTCCCAGCCTCCTCCCCACCCCCCGGTGGAGGCAGAGCAGACCTCAGTGGGTACTTTTTTAAAGCAGGTAAGAATCCCCCCGGCCCCGGCCCCGGCCCCGGGCTCCTGAGGGGCGACGTGACCCCACCCCAAAGGCGGGTCTTCCCCTCGCCGCTGTCACCTGTGCAGAGCCGCGTCCGGCGCGTGCTGGGCGGGGCAGGGGCGGGGCCAGCTGCGCCCTGGCAGCAGCGGCAGGAGGCGGCGGTTGCCCGCCCCGACGGCTCCACCCCG